GGTTTTGACTAAATCAACAGTTTTGGTCAAATTCCTTCTTTTAGAAAAGCTGAACTTGGAAAAGGGGCTAGGCAATATTGAATGGTTAGAACCATCTGGGTCAATGATAGGTTGGAAACAATATATGTGACAATACATAGCATGTTTTTTATTCTATGGACGTTTCATGATAAACGTTTATCAAAACTCTGCCATGTTATTGTCAAATCAGCATTTTTTTCATCATGTTCATCAATATGCATTGATATTCACAAAAGTGGGTTTTCATATATGTGTGCACCAACCGTTAGGGGAAGATTCATTTTAATGCTTCTTCCAACAGTTGAGTGTTTATTCACTGTTCCACTGATGTGGTGCCTAGTGGCGCCTAGTTGTTAATAAACGGTTTATCAAGTACTTTTTTCGGTTTTTAAAAACAAATCAAATACAAACATTTATTTAATAAACAAAAGCTACGCCAAACATATACATATTTTTCATTAATTTGTATTGATGAATCTAAAATATTTTAGATAAAAACAACAGTGGTACCAAAACCAAACACAACCTAAAATTACAGTAGATCAAGTATAAAAAGTCTGAATTATGAACGGGATGGAGAAAATGTATAGGCAGCAAAGTGCAGCACCAGAAACCCCTGTAAGCTTGTCTGGGGACCGAAAAATGAAAACTACCATGCTTTCACCTTTACTTTCAAGGAAGAGCAACTTAAACCTTTTAGGCTGTGTTTGGTTGCAAAATAAATAAATTTGCACTGATGCAAAATCATGACAGCGTAAATGATTTGAATGTAAATTCTGACTTATTTCTGTTTCAAATTTTAGCTTATTTTATTTGATTGCAGTATAAATGAAGTAAGTTATAACATGAAGTAGAATAAAGTAAAATCCAAAACAAAATTAAACAAGAATTTGCATTTTTTACATTTATACTCCCATACATTTGTACTCATGCAAATAAATTAGTACTACAACCAAACACAGCCTTACTACTCCGCGTTCATATTTCCAGCAACAACGCTCCATTCCACATAGTTAGATGACCTTTACAGGTCTTGACTGCATCAAAAAAGGTAATAGAATTAGAAAAAGCATCTGATCTCGAACTTGTTGAAAGCAGCTTCACAAAACATGTTGTTATCTTAGGACCTATTTGGGAGGGGCAAAAGCGTAATTGAGCTGCATCAGATGGAGTCGCTTTGGAGAAGCTACAAAAGATCTTTTTTTTTGGGCTCATTTAAGCTTATTTTTGGCTTTCTGGTTTCTTACCAGACATGGCTTCATAGATTGCTGGGTTTATCAACTCATGTGACGCCAGAAGCCTTGTGTGAAAGCCCTCGCAAACGAGTGCTTAATTAGCTAATACTTATAGGCAGGCAGAATTTTTTGTGGGCTGGATTGGACTTGAGCCCACAGAAGTTCTGTTCAGGGTCGTTAATTGAGGCCCGGGTATGTGAACAAGAAGAGCTGTCTTGGCTAACTGACAGCCCTGAAATCAGTTTTTGGAGCTGTGACATTCTTGTGGAACAAGAAATTCCTGTTGTAGACTTGTAGGATGCCATGACTGTTGCCTTCAAAAGCTCCTTTATTCTTCTTAAACTGGAACAATTCTATGTACGGGTCTTGGAAAAGCTTTATATTTCAAAAGTAAAAGCCTATCAGAAAGCTACACAAGACTAATGATAAAAACTTAAAGAAGTATGAAGGTTACTTTACAGACTCAAAATCTTCTTACAACTCCTTTCCTGAATTTCTTTCCCACTTCAAACCTATCTTTCTCTTTACCTAAATAAAAGAAAAAAGAAAAAAGAAAAAAAAAAACTAGCTTTACCAAACAGCCTTCCTAAAATAAAATTTGGTTTTCTCTAACCCATAAGAAAAGCACTTTCTTGAACAAAACACATGTTTGGTTTATTCGGAATAAAAGAGGAAAGAAAGGTGGGATAGGAAGGTGATGCCAACATGTCTTCATATATGCAAACTATTTCTTATTCAAAATTTCTCTGAGACTGAAAGTGTTTATATCAAGGATACAACCTTATCAATGAAACAGCGCCAAAAACAGCCTTAAGTTCAAGATATAAAGTCGAATCTGATGATCTGTGACGGCAAATGCTTAGGCCACAAGGCCAAAGCTGGGTCTGGTTATCCGGTCCAATTGACATCTGGGGGCTGGGCCCTAAATGTTCGAGATCATATGACTGGCATACTAAGGGTCTGTTTGGTTCATAGAAAAGATCGAAATCAGAATCCTCAGGAATTGGAATCGGAATCACCTATTCCCGACTTTTGTTTGGTTTGGTTGGGAATTAGAATCAGATTCTGATTGCTGATGTTTGGTTCATTTGGAGTTGGATTCAGAATCAATTGAAAATTTTCAATTTTATATTAGTCTATTTATTTATTTTATGAATATATAATTATTATTTAATAATTAATATATTAGTATTTATCATTAATTTATGAATATTTTATTAATAGTTTATTATTTTATTATATTTTATTGTCATTTTCTTATTAGTTTATTAATATTCTATTATTTTTGTTTGTGATTTTAAAAGTAATTTATTGTTATTTAATAAATAATATTTTTCTTTTATTATTTCTTTTTCTATTATTATTTTATGATATTTAATAATTAATATCTTAGTATTTATCATTAATTTGTTAATATTTTATTAATATATTATTATTTTATTACTAATTTAATTCTATTATTTTAATGTTTTATTTATACTTTATTATTATGTTTAATAGTTAATATCTTAATATTTATCATTAATTTATGATTATTTTATTACCAATATGTTATTATTTATTATTATTAACTTGTTATTGATTTAATAATATTTTATAATTTTTTTAATATTAGTGTTTGGGTGATTTCTTGTCATAAGTTCTTTACTTCTTGATAGACTTCGGAATGGAATCCTATTCCCTAAGGGGAGGGAGAACCTGGAATGGCCATTCCTCCAAGAATGAGAATCGGAATCCCATTCTTGCAAAACAAACAGTTGGAATCAGAATGAGCTATTCCAATTCCAATTCCAAGAAACCAAAGGACCCATAAATATCTTCATGATGAGGACGAATGAGATGGGCCAACTAGGATGGTCTTTGGAAAGAAAGTCAGGACAGGAGTGATCATTTTCAGCCCAGCCTGGGCCGGTCCATTTTCAGCCGCCCCTTGATTTTCATATCTAAACCCAAAACCCCTAATTCATAAAGTCAGGAGTGATCATTTTCAACCGGGTAGGGGCCAAGTAATTTCTAAGAAATATTGACTGGGTTGAGATGGTATTTCATGGAATTACAGCCTTCACAAATGTCACACTCCAGAAAGCAAACCAAACCAAACCTGAAAATATAAGAAATACTAATCTACCATCACCGGTGCTGGTGCAACCATGAGAAGAGTGGGCTTTATTTACCCACACCCACATAATGGCCCAAAATACACAAATGATTGAAGAGTAGACAAATGACAGGATAGGAAAGACAAAAGCTTGCATATCCAAACAAACCAAAGGCGACGAAAGGGAAAGGACGGTAACACTTAGCATAGCAGAGCATCATGACATGGATGTTGGCTTGGTTAGGCTTTGAAAAGATAAGAAATTGTTTTCAAGACCTTGATTATCTCATCCCATTTGCTTTTCTATCTTTCCCTAAAGCTCCTACTTGATACAAATAAGAAAAATCCGGTTGATGATCTCATGGGACGGCGCCTCACCCCTCCATGCATATATTATAATATTTCATCTTAACCTCCCTCCCTCTCTCTTTTCAAGGTCAATGCAATAAACAATGGATTAGAGAAGTATGTGTTGAAGTTACACAGAGATTCCCCTGTTTAACAAATCCTAATGGAACATGTTTTCTTCAAGAGAAAGGACAGGTTTCAAATGAGAAACCACCATCGTTCCCTGAAGATGGGACAGGTGTTGGATCCAGAATCAACGTTTAAAATTTTGTTTCAGTAGGTATTGATTTGATTAGTCAATTCACGTTTGGTCGTGGTGTGTTTGCTGGAATGACTTATTGACTGGGTTGAATGTTCATAATTTTGATTACTTCGGTTGTATTGTGAGAGATATAACATGGGTTCTTTCTGTGCAATGAAAGTTTGAAAAAGTGAGAAGTACTCTGGAGATGATGGATAATGGGTTTGTAGCTCTGATGAATGGACTTCACTCAACTAATGGAAGCTCTTAGAGTGCAGGAGTTTTCTTTATGATTCTGGTGCAAGCTCTACAGAGCCTGCAGAAGGCTATTTTAATGATGTATATTTAAACTGGGATGATATTTCAAATGAATGTTGTTTTATAGTGTGCTGGCAAAAATGGAAATAAGTTTGGCGAACAAAGCAATTTCCTTATGTCTTAGTTTGGATTGTGGTGATCCCAATTAAGACATCAGTGGATCAACAGAAAATTGGGTCTTAATTCTAAAATCTGGCAGCACCTGAATATATATATATATATAGTGATGTAGTCTTATAACTAAGGGATAGCAAAATAGCTGCAATTAAATTGTCCCTAGGAAAGCTATTTCAATGAAAGCGTTTAAGATTTGAAAAGCTATAGTTCCAGTGCTAGCTGCAAGTACTTCTGTTGTGGTGTTTCACCAAATCTGAATTCCGTGTTTGATCTGCACGCACCCCTTTTGCTCCTACCTCAACACAGAAGCACATTTAAGCAGCTTTGAAAAGCTTATAAATGATAGCAAGTAGAACATCCTTCAAGGAATGCTGCACACAGATCTGTTCCGTTGCACTATTGCTAGCTACATATCCTACGCACAATGAGGAAGGGCTCTGATATGAAACGATGGATCTAGGCAATTTCATTGATGGTGGCAATGTCAGCTCTAGTTTGTGTAATTTAGTAGACTTAGATTGAAGACCCAGATTGATTAACATAACGTCGGTTCAGTCTTGTCATTGTATATTGGCCTTTTAACATGAAACCAGAAGAATATTATGATCAATAAGCAACAATCTGACAACAACAACAATAAGCCCTTCTGCTAACTGATAATTTCATCTTGATAAAATAATCAGAGAGAGAGAGAGAGAGAGAAAGCTTCAATTTTATTTCTACAAAAGTACGAACATGCTACCTGATGAAAACCCCACATTGTACAAATCATCTATGCTGTGCAGTAGTGGAAGAACAGAAGCAAGGCTGGTGATGGAATGGACAGAAGCGTGGGAGAGCGAGATCACAAAACCGTCTCAGCCTCCTCCTAGGTCCCACGCAGTAGCATCTCAACTCAAATACATGTGCTTCGTTACTGTAACAACAACCAAAAGATCCAAAACAGAGAAACAACCACTGATATGGGGCCTATAAGGCTATAACTACTTTAACTACTACTTCGCCGGAATCCTGAAATGTGAAGATTAAAAATAATAAAGAAAACAGAAGGAAAAGAAAGACAGAGAAAGGGAAAGACAGGAGATCGAACTTGTTGGAATTTAAGACCCGCCATTGCTGTAAGGCCCAATAAAAAAATGCACAGCCTTTGTTCAGCAGTGGCAGAACCTGAAAATCTATAGAATACTTGAATGTTGAAGAGGAGGGGGGGGGGGTGTATTGGCATCGACAAGAGAGGGAAAGCGAGAAGAAGAAGAAGAAGAAGCATGAACTGGGTTTCTAATAAGAAAAACTAACAGAATTCCTAAGAAATCACGGGCTGTCCTTGTTAAAAAATCTGCAACCTGTGAGAGAACTCGAAGGATGTTCTAATTTGTTTCTAAATGCTAACGCCTAACTGGGGATGGAGAAGGAAGAGAATTGATGACTGGATCGAGTCTGGAGGGATGAGCCAACAAGAGGCAGGTTCCAATCTGCATCCAAATGGCCAAAGGGACAAGACTAAGAGGGAGAAGGAGTTGGGCTGTCGGGTTGATTTTGAAAGTCAGTGGCTTGAAGTTCCTGCTGACTAGAGGTGGGCATAGCAAGATGGGACTGTAGAAGTAGATTATTTATGGTGTCGATATCGTCCCAAACAGGGCTACCTGGACCCCAGCCAGCTGGTATGGCATTGAACCAGGCCTCTTGCATGTCTCCCCATACCAACTCCGAAGATGCAGAAATCCCTTCCCCAGTTACGGAAGCTGATGGTGTCAGAGCCTGAGCATCCGTTAGTCCACTCGATCCCAATCCCATTCCGGCAGGAGAGTTGCCCTGAAAATTGGGCTTCTCTGGGCCATCATCGCTTGGATTGTTGGGAGGCATGGGCGCAGTCTCCACATGCTGAGACTCCGAATGAGGCTGAGGCGGCAACGGTTGCTGCTGGCGGGGTTGGTGAGGATTTGCATTGGGAGTTGGGGGTGATGAACATGATGAACTTGGAGCAGTCGCAGCACCGTCCCTGCCAAGAAAGAGTTCGGGGAAGTTGAGGCGAGCATGATCCCCTCTCAATTTATAGGCCTCGCGGTCGTAGGCCAAGGCGGCATCTTCTGCTGTGTCAAAGGTGCCGAGCCAAAGGCGAGTCCTGTTGCGAGGGAGACGAATCTCGGCTACCCATTTACCCCAATGGCGTTGCCTTACTCCTCTGTAGAGCTTGGTGGTGGATCCTGGAGGAGCTGGAGGTCTGAACAAGCTCCTACCATGCTGTCCCAATCTGTTCATCATCATCGTCCGGCCCCGAGGGCTGAGATTGAGCGCGTCACTCCAATACCGGAGAAGCTGTTGCTGTTGCTCTGTCGACTGCCCTTCTCCGATGAAGAACGGCGGGTAGTAACCCATCCCATGGTTCTGGGGAATGAATGAAATCATCTGCTGGTGCTGTGGGTGGGGTTGATGGAACAGAGTAAATGGTGTTGTTCCGAAATGGTTGGTCATCTCTGTATGCTGAGATCCATCAAAGGCAAAAGGGAATACAATCCTGGAAGAAGGTTGAGTAATCACCGTATCTGTTGTAGTAACTGTACTAATAGAAGGAGAAGAAAAAAGTGAGACGTGGGTTGCTTGATCTGTGATTGAAACAGAAGAATTACAAGGATTCTGACGTTCAGGGCTTCGAATCTTCTTGAGAGGCCTGGGTGAAATGGACGCCCCCTCAAAAACCGGCATCCATTGGCGCCCCTCTAAGCTAACCGGATTCTTGCCCTTGTCCTGAGTCTCACCACATCCCTGTTTCGATGTGCTACGGCTGTTGACGTTTGCCATGTCGGTTGCACCAATAATACAAACTCTGATACGTACGAACTAGAGAAACAAGGTTTCCCTTGCTCGATGCTGCTGGATTTAAAGCCGAAAATTGAAAGGAGGAAAGCCTGCTGCTGCCAGCCGCCCGCTCTCTCGGGAAATAGATGAGATATGGATTGACAAACAAAAAGAAAAAGCAAAATAGAAGATAAAAGAAAACAGATTAAAGTTGATGAGAAACGAGCTAGGAAGAAAAAGATCCAACTTTTTAAATTAGAATCTGGATTCCATGTCAATCACCGATTCGATCAAACCAAAACTAAAACAGAACAGGATACACATAACCATTCGGGAAGCAACCCATGTCGACTGCCCAATGGGGAAGCGAGAGAGAGAGAGAGGCAGACAGACAGAAGTGTTTCGGTGGAGAGCGAGCGGCTGGGTAGAGAGAGAGAGAGTGGACGAAGAGCCTAGAAAAAGATCCAAGTTCGTGACTGTGTATGGCTTCAAATCCTGCTGAAAACTCAAATCGGTCGTAATAAAGCAGAATTGGGGGGGTGGTAGAGACTAGATAGCAGAGAGCAAAGCCAAAATAAACGTGAGGGAGGAAAGCATTATAAGAGAAGAGGCCAATAAGCGATTCGACGAGAGGATCCATCATCCATCAAAACAAAAACACATATAAAAATGTATGTGGTGGAACCAACGTTTCTCCTCCAGTAGTATCATTTGATTGAGTGGTCTGGACTTGTGCTACCAACGCAGCTTCCAACATGATCTGTAGCCGCACATCCTCAAACATGTTTCGCTATCATGTCAGAGATGAGATGTATGGCTATGGGCGATGTTGGAAGGTTTATTTGTAGCGTGCCCAGCAAATCCTGACTGACGGGGACCAACCATCGAAGATGGAGCGTATCCAATGAAATAATTACAACTGTGTTTAGGTTCATGTATTAGAAACCCGGATGTGCTGCTCGCCAATGAACACTAGTGTGTTATGTTATTTAGCCCCATTACATATATATTTGGCTAGCAACCCGGATGTGCTGCTCGTGCTGGCCATTCCATTTGTATTACAGTTACAGGATTATCGCTAGCTAGTGGTACTGGTAATGGCTCAAGAATACTCTCTCTCTCTCTCGCTCTTCCAGAGCACAGGTCGATCGGGAGAACCGTAGAAAAGAAAACCAAACAAGTATAAACATTGCAAAACTATCACATTTAAACCATCGTGATCAAGCGGACTGCGGACATTGACAGAAACATCCACGTTTAACTTGTCATGTGATGAGAGCCACATAAAAGAGAGTGTAGATTGCTTTCATGGAAGATGTACTGCTTTGAACAGGGGCGAGCAAGAAAAAACTAAAAACTGAAGTAGAGTGGTCACCATTAATAACGGTTAAAGGCATTACCCACTAAGCCCTAACACCATTAATAAACACAGAAGTAGAGTGGTCAAGAACTCATTATATGATATATTGGTTCTAATTTTGTCGCTTTGTCCCGATTAATGATAGGATTGATTCTGATTTCTGTTATTTTGTCTCGATTAATAACTGGGTTGGTTTTTGCTTTTTGTTTTTTTTTTGTAGTTTTTATTATATTTTATGTTTAAAAGGGTAAATTTGATAGATAAAATATAAAGTTTTGATTAAAATATTTTATTTATTAATATATAAATAATTTAATATTTTAATGTCATTTTTATTATGGTTATTGATATTGTGCGATCTGGCTGCTCCCTCATGTCAGGTGACTCGGACTCTGATTTGGAAGGTTCCTTGTCAGGGCCAAGCTAGAAGTGGCCGAGCTTATGATTGTCTGCAAGAGAGAACGTTAGAGTGCTTGGGCTTTCTTTACCCGAGGAGGGCATTCCGATGCACAAATCAGAAGATGTTTTTGAGAGTTCTTGAGAGTGTATTATCGCACGTACCTTCTCAGGTAGAAGTGAGTACTTTATATAGGTTTTGATGGTTAGAGCCCTTTGCAACGGGTCTCACCTTCTTGCGAAGCCATTTCCGCTTAGTTGGGCACATTAATATGTTGGTTGTGAGATCTGTGAATAGGTTACACTATGCATGAGTAAATCTGAGGCGTGTGGTGCGATAGGCCGGTCTAACGGTCGAGGTATTAATGTCCCGAAGCTCTTGGGTTGGTAACGTATTGTTGGTCCAACTCAGTGGGTTCTCCTCGTAGGTCGCCGTTGATTCCTATAGCTCGCTTGGTCTCTAAGATAGCTCGCCGTGGGTGGGGAGCCTATCAGTTCGTCCTAGCCGAGGTGGAGGTCGGCCTGGGTGAGGTGTTTCGGTGCTAACTTGCCGAGCTAGTTTGCTTACTCAGTGTCGAGGTGTCACTCGAAGGCCACAAGTCGTGAGATGATTAGGAGGACCAAATTACCCCTCATCAATTGCCCCCCTCCCAAGCCTAAGTCAGCTCCGTGAAGGGAGTAGCTCTCAACTAGGTAATTGGTCTGATTGGTTCGTATGTCGCTTGGCTTGCTTTCTCGATCCGGTCTATGAGCGGGTGGGACTGCGGTGGTCTTTCAAATTCAAAATTCAAAATTTGAAATTTTGAAAAGAGGCACGCTCGGAGGGCGCATTGTTTTCAAATTTGAAAAGAGGTGCGCTCATCAGGCACACAAAAACTTGAATTCAAAGTTATCCACACGCATCACCAGCTATCGATTTGCTGTTGAAGCATCTCAACCGTTCGCTCTTTTGTCTGGTGGGCTATAAGTATGGGGTCCCCACTTGTTGTTAGACAGTGTATGCCCTTAGCTCCAATCAGAATGATATACCTTATGACATTTAAGGTAAATGAATAAAGTACATATTTGATTCATGTTATTATGGTGTGTTTGTGTTTAATACACTTAAACTGGACACATATGAGACTCGTGTTAGTTTAGAATATTCACAGTCGTTGGATAGATCTGGTGAGATTTATCCTGCCAAAGCTGACACTGATGTGCCACCAAGTTGGTTGGGGTGGTTTGTCTCAGCTGCTAGGGTGAGACCTAAGGTACATGTAGTGTGGGTTTTCTTGAAACCCTGAATCGGACCAGAATTCCAATATTGCCCTACGCCTTGGAGATAGATGGGAAAAACTGGAATGTTACACCTGACCCCTAGACTCGATTACGATACTGCACTAGGTGTTGTATTGGGCTGTCTTTGATATGCCAATCAGTGAGATCCTTAAAGGGGGTCAAAACCTGGGTATGTTGGGACAGTCCGAGAATTCATCTGAGTGGGTGATCATAGTGAGAGGATTAGCCCCTTTATCGGACAAAGTGAATGATCAGGGATGCACTCTCTAATGGAAACCAAAGCTGCCAACAGCCGATTGCAAACGTTGAAATTTGTTTTGCAAAATATATTTATATAGAGATATACATATACATATATATATATATATGGTTTCAAAATGTTTGCAAAAGGTTTTAATTCCCGGGATCCATGTGAGCAGAGAGTGCAACACTGTTCCTTGCAGCTTAGGGAGAGGTCCTCTCTTGTCGGACAGTGTTTAATCATTATGGGTTGAGGTTAAGTGTAAGACCATTGAGGGTAATACCTGATGGGCTAATCTTGCATCTGCCCACAATCCTTGGGTTTTCGTAAGGTGGTTTGACCCAATGACCACTTAGTGTAAGTGTTGGGCCCATTAAGAGCCCATGGTGATGGGCTCAGGGGTTCACTGTCTCTTATAGTGAATTCGGCCAAGCCTTGTAACAAAGGCTAGGCTGAACCCATGTGGTTGATGTGTAGATCAATGTTTAGGTCCCACACCATACAAGGATACCCAACTGTGTAGTAGTTTGGAGGATATGTGAGCACATGGACTTAATGGGCCTAAATCCCAATCGAACTAATTTAATATGATTAATTAAAGAGGTGCGGTTCTGAGATTTAGATCAGTAGATAGGATAAGGGATTGTCCCTATACACTTAGAGAGTCCATATCCAAATAGGGATTTTGATCAAGAAACTCCTAATCAGATTAGGAGGGCTGATCTTTATCTGCAGATAAGATAAGGGATTATCCTTATCTCTTAAAGAGAGTCCAGATCCAAATACAAGATTTGGATTAGGAAACTCCTAATAGGATTAGGAGAACCTCTCTTAAAGGCTATAAATAGAGGAGAAGGGAAAACCCCAGTTTACACCCCAATCAGATTACAGATTCAAGAAAGAAGACAACTCTAGTTAGACTGACGCCATCTTCTGCTCTTGCCTCCTTCTTGTTAGACAGTGTATGCCCTTATCTCCAATCAGAATGATGTGCATTATGACATTTATTGTAAATGAATAAAGTACATATTTGATTGATGTTATTGTGTTGTGTTTCTGTGTAATACCCTTAAACTGGACACATATGAGACTCATGTTAGTTTAGAATCTTCACAGCCGTTGGATAGATCTGGAGATATTTATCCTGCCAAGGCTAACACTGATGTGCCGCCAAGTTGGTTGGGGTGGCTTGTCTCACCTGCTAGGGTGAGACCTGATGCACATGCAGTGTGGGTTTTCTTGAAACCCTGAACCGGACCAGAATTCCATTATTGCCTTGAACCTTGGAGATTGATGGGTAAAACTAGAATGTTACACCTGACCCATAGACTCGATTATGATACTGCACTAGGTGTCGGATTGGGCTGTCTTTAATATGCCAATCAGTGAGATCCTTAGAGGGGGGTCAAAACCTGGGTATGTTGCGACAGTCCAAGAATTCATTTAAGTGGGTGATCATAGTGACAGGATCAGCCCCTTTGTTGGACAAAGGTAATGATCGAGGATGCACTCTATTTGATAGAAACCAAAGCTGTCGACAGCAATTTCAATCGTTGAAATTTGTTTTTGCAAAATATATTTATATAAATATATACATATATATTACAGTTTCAAAATGTTTGCAAAAGGTTTTAATTCCCGAGATCCATGTGAGTAGAGAGTGTAACACTGTTACTTGTAGCCGAGGGAGAGGTCCTCTCTTGTCAGGCAGTGTTTGATCATTATGGGCTGAGAGGTTTAAGTGTAAGACCATTGAGGGTAAGACCTGATGGGCTAATCTTGCATTTGCCCACAATCCTTGGGTTTTTATAAGGTGGCTTGACCCAGGGACCACTTGGTGTAAGTGTTGGGTCCATTAAGAGCCCATGGTGATGGGCTCAGGGGTTCACTGTTTCCTACAGTGAATTCGGCCAGGCCTTGTAACAGAGGCTGGGCTGAACCTATGTGGCTGATGTGTAGATCAATGTTTGGGTCCCATGCCATAAAAGGATATCCAACTGGGCAGCAGTTTAGAGGCTAAATGAACACATGGACTTAATGGGCCTAAAGCCCAAATCAAACTGGTTTAATTTGATTAATTAAAGAGGGGTGGTTCTGGGATTTGGATCAACAGATTGGATAGGGAGTTATCCCTAACTCCCTATCCACTCAGAGATTCCAGATCCAAATAATGATTTAGATTAGGAAACTTCTAATAAGATTAGGAGGGTTGATCTTAATCTGCAGATAAGATAAGGGTTTATCCTTATCTCCTAAAGAGAGTCCTGATCCAAATACAGATTTGGATTAGGAAACTCCTAATGGGATTTGGAGGAGCTCTTTTTAAGGATATAAATA